TTACCCTCTTGTGAGGAAATCTTTCCTTCTGCACAAGGAAGGCAGTCATAGCAACAGAACAGTTTCCCTTCTTTCATGGTTTTTCTATGACTTGAAAGATAATGATCATTCTACACTGAAAAGGGCTGAACCTGAAAGGAGAAGAGAGAAAAGGAAAATATTGAATTAGATGTTATCAATGTGAGAGTTATAAAAGACATTATTTAATTCTTGTGTATCCTGCTTAAAGTCCAACAAGATCTTCCTCCAATATCATGTGTTGAATTAATGAGATTTTCAGTCAGTGATACATACAAAAACATGAATGAAAATAGTAATAGACTTAGCAAAAGAAAAGAAAATCACCTTAAAGAACCTCTGTATTGTGAATAGATTGGAACTAGTACAGAAGATGGTATTCAGTTGTCTATTTTTTTATTTTGCCTAATAAGAATCTTTTTAGAAACAAGTAATTTATTTCCTTGTAGCTATTGTTTGGGGAGAGCACACTCCATATAGATCCAAAATCCACAATCTGACTGATAGAAGTAAAAGAAAGGTCTTCAAAATTTAATATTGAAAGAGAAATTTAAAATTGAATTTGCTGCAGTGGAAATTTACTGAGTGGAGAAGCTATGATGGGAAACAGGAAAGGTTAACATAAAGAAAGGATGTAAAGGAAATATGTAGGCAAAAATAGCTGGGTCTTAAGAGTGGGAAAGGAAGAAGAAAACATCTGTAATAGACGATAACTAGCAAAACAAGAAAGAACCTATTTTTCTAAGAAGTCATAAAAAAGGGGGCCAGAACTCAGGCAACTGAGCATGCGCAATTAATTGATTAATATTAACTGACACACCTTGCATAAATTATCTCCTAATTTTAATGTGCATATGATGTATGATTTAGTATGTAGCAGGAAATATGTAGGAGGTGGTCGGAAAGAGTGTAACCTCATAGTACCTCAGCCAATGGGGAAAGAGGAGGGATGTGGCGGCCGGGACAAGGGATGTATAAAGAAGGAAATATTTTGGGTTAAAACTTTGGAGAGAACCAAGCTTTGATAGCTTCTCTCCCTGCTTATTGCAATAAACGAAACAAAAGGCCTTCACTGTGTCTTGGCTGGCCTCTGGTCATGAAGGAAAGTAGCCAGGAGCACATAACATGACTGACTGATTGATTGATCAGTTGCTCTGGAGAAGTTTGTGTTTTGAATCTTATTGATCACATAGATAGAATGTTCTCCAGGATGATCCTTCACCAATATGGTTATCCAGGTCTTCCAACAGAGCACTCATCACTATTATAATCAAGCCTATCATTCTTCTGCTGGTCGTCCTCTTTTTACTTTCCTTCCACCTTTCCTAAAATTATAAATTTGTCAAATTATGGTAATCTGAGTCTGCTTATTTGTGCTTTGAGCGAGAACTCTGGGATGATTTGATCAATGATGCACCAGCTTGTTGTCCAGATTATTCATGATATTCTAAAGCAGTGGTTCTCAACCTTTCTAATGCCGCGACCCCATAATACAGTTCCCCATGTTGTGGTGACCCCCAACCACTTATACATCATTGGGTGCCAGGGGCATGGCCAAAGAAAAGGGGGAAAAAATGGTTGACAGACTTGTTTGGCGACCCCCGTGAAATGGTCGTTCGACCCCAAATGGGGTCCCGACCCACAGGTTGAGAACCACTGTTCTAAAGCATCTTCTCCAAAACCAATATTTAAAACCATTAATAACCTTTCTATCCTTTTTCTTCAGAATACAACTTTTACTTCCACAGAGAATCAGATGGAAAAGCATTATCTCCATGATTATAATTACTGTAGTCACTGACCCTGCCCAGATGGTAACCATGACTATGAATACTGTACACCATCTCTTTTTTATGTATGCTGTGCATGCAATTTATAGAGCATAAACAAGCAGACAAGGCTTATGTGAGATAGCTGTGGATGCCATCTTATTTTTTTATCAATCCCCCAATACCTCATCATGATAAAAATGAAAAGTATTATCCAGAATCATTTTCACCATTATAAAAAATATTACCCAGAATAAACAAGCATAAATAGTGATGCATATACATAGTTCCTCAAGGGAAAGAAATTGAAGAATTACCAACTTTGAGCCATGACTAATGAGAACGCTGACTTGAGTTTATACAAGTTCTGTTTGTGAAAACATTAGCTTTTTCTCATACTCGATGAAATTCATCATGGTTCCTTTGTTCTTTGTTTTCTTTATCCTTCATTTTTTACCCTTTGTATTCTTTATCCAAAGTGTCATTGGACAAAAAAAAAAAAAAAGTCTGAATGGATTTCTGTATGAAAGCATCCATGAATTAGTGACATCTAAATTGTGGGAAGCCCTCCTCCAATAGAATGAAATATTTTGGGAATATTAAAAGAGGCAGAATATTATATTTCCCCTAAAGGAGAAGAGGAGAATCATCTTAAAGGCAGAAAGCAGCCCCAGTCTTCTTGCTATAGGAAAACAGTCTCAAGCAAAAGCATGAAAAAACCAGTCTATAGGAGATTTTGTATCCATTCAGAAAGATTGGGCCACTCTATTCTTAAGCAAAGAGCAAACAGAGACTCCAAATAAGCAATACAGTTAAGCAAGTCAAAGTTGACAAAATAAGCTCAGACAAATAAACACCTAAGATTTGCATTTCCACTTTTGCCTGTAGAGCCAGCCATGACCCCTACATCAGGGGTACCACCTGTGGTACATTGGCACCTGGAAGGTGGTACGCGAACATCCTAGAAAAGTGATAGTGGGGGAGGGGAAGGAGCTGAACCGGTGGCAGCACCGCACAAGCCTGAGCGAGAGATGGCTGGAGCTACAGGGTTGTCAGGGCTCAGCGGAAGCACCAGGATCAGCGCCAGGCTCCAGCTGGAGCTCTACGCTGATCCTGGCGCTTCTGCTGAGCCCTGAAGAAGCACCAATCAGCTGGAAAGCAGCACTGATCCTGGCGCTTCTGCTGAGCCTAGAAGAAGTGCCGATCAGCTGGAATGTTGCAGCATGTCCAGGGTCTTGTGATTTACATTCAGGTGCTTGGCAACTGATTCATATTTATGACGGTCACAATGTCTTGGGGTCATGTGAAGTGACCAAAACCTGCTGCAACCACCCAGCAGACGGGGGGGGGGGGGAATAAAAACCAAACACCCCCCACCCCACCCCCGCTGCCAATCCTCAACAAAAATGCTCACAACAATGGAAACTTCAGACAGGAGGAAGAGCGTCACTGGGTGGGCAGTTAGGTGTCATGCTCGCCTGTGGCTTGGGTGGCACTTTTTTCAGTGCCATTGTAACTTCAAACAGTCACTAAGCGAACTCTTGTAAGTTGAGGACTACCTGTACTTTATCACTTTTTTCCTTTTTTGGGGGGGGTCATCAAGTTTTTGACACCTTGCTGGGCGACTGGTGGTACTCGGATATTGCCATATCCTAAAAGTGGTACAATGAGTGAAAAGGCTGAAAAGCCCTGCCCTACATGACCCCATAGGAATCTGGCAACAGCCGTTAGAAGGACATGTTCTTGCATAGGAACAGGCATCTCAATTACAAGGCCCCAAAGAATGATCCCATTTTGTCAGCCACCCCATAAACATGCTGCTGCCCTATCATTTCAGATAAATGGTTGTCCAATCTATTCTTAACAACCACCCACGACTACTGAAGGAAAGTTGTTTCATTAATTAATTGTTTTAATTCTCAGGAAATTGCTTCTTAGTTCTAGATTGGTTTTATCCTTGATGAATATCCTTTAATTGCTTCTTATCCTGTCTTCAGGTGCTTTGGAGGATAGCTTGGCCCCCTCTCCTTTGTGGCAGCCCCTTATTAATAAATGTGGCCCAAGAAATACATTGACTAATGGTCAACTACCAAACAACCTACACAGTCAGATTATTCACAGCAATTGCAGATCATTTAACAAATGCAATAAATCTGAATGTCTTAGAAAGGGATCCAGGTTCTTCATCTGAGGGTGGGATTTCAAATGCAAATGGTTTGGAATGCATAAATGTTTGAAATGTTATAACACCAAGGTTTCTGACTTTCTGTTATAACAGCTCTGAAAAATATAGGGAGGATTCTTCATGACATTTAGTCTTGGTAATTTTGCTAATAGCAACTAGAATTCCCCTGAGAACTTAGAGAAGAATTTGATAAAGATAGGAGAATAACAGTTTTGGATGGGGCAGGATAGGAGAATAAGACATGGCAGATAATTTCCTGTTCAGAGCTGCATTTAACCTGGCCCCACAACAATTCTTGTTTTACTGGAGGCATCTGTCTTCCACTGAGAACAGCAAACCATGCAAAGTAAAGTCAGAACTTAATACAAAAGGGAAAAAAAATCGCTTTAAAGCCTTTTATTAATTAAAGATCCAAAGGATGTCATTTGGCCTTAAAATAAGGTCTCTCTGATTATTAAAATTCTTTGAAAGGCTGTGTTTTCCAAGATGATCCCTTTCACCCTTACTTTTGTTACATTATTCTCTTGTTTAAACCAAGCAATTATTTCAGGATCTACTAGGGTGTCCCGATAGCTATTCCTAATTTCTTTAACAACCTAAAATGGTATTTCTGGAATCAAGAGTCAAGTATTGATATATTTTTTGGAAGTTGAGATGATTATTTCTCAATAGTAGCGGTCTAATCACCTGTTTCACTAACAATGATTTTTTTCTATGAGTGATGGCAGAAAATCTAAAGCACAGTTTACATTTTAAGCTTCTCTCCACTGATATGATTTCTCCTATTGCATTTTCATTACAATGACAATAAATAAAGAAGTGGGACAAAGATTTCTGTCCAATTAAAAGTAAACAGGACTATACCTGATTCCAATTAAATATATTAATTATACATTAACTGGAAGAATTATCTCCTTTTTTAATGAATAGTAAGCAGCAGAGAACAATTCAGGACTTGTATTAAGTATATCAGCATAGAATTGTGGCCTAAAAGGTTTCTGTTTTCTACCAGGCCATCACATTTTATATTAATCTGTTGTTTTGCTTTTTAAAAATTCTTTGTTGTTCAGATCAGGCCTCAGCACAATGATGTAGCATTTGGGTGAAAAGATACAAAGCAGTAATCCAGCACTGGAAGCTATAATGGAGAAGATTTCCACAGCAACCATATATTTTCCCTTTGAACTCAAGTATGCTGGAACAAAGGACAACCAAACACTACAGAAGACCAACATGCTGAAAGTGATAAACCTGGCTTCATTGAAAGCATCAGGCAATTTCCTTGCTAGGAAAGCCAATGAGAAGCTGACAATGGCAAGGAAGCCCATATAACCCAAGACACAATAAAACATGAAGGCAGATCCTTTGTTACACTCCAGAATGATTTCTTCTGCTATTGACTTCATGTCAGCATCTGGAAATGGGGGAGACATGATCAGCCATATGACACAAGTCTTAATTTGAATAAAGGAGCAACAGGATGCCATGAATGTGCCAAGTCTTTTCCCTACCCATTTGGTTATCTTGGATCCTGGCTTGGTAGCCATGAAAGCCAGAACCACAATGATGGTCTTAGCCAAAACACAAGAAATGGCCACTGAGAAAATGATGCCAAATGCAGTTTGGCGAAGGAGACATGTCACCTTGTGAGGTTTTCCAAGGAATAGCAAAATACAAAGAAATGATAACAGGAGAGCAATAAGGAGAGCATATGTAAGGTTCCGGTTGTTGGCTTTGACAATGGGAGTGTCCTGATGCTTAATAAAGATGCAAAGGACCCCAACTGTGACCAAAGAAAAGAAAAGAGCAGAAGTGGCCAAAACACCACCCAAAGTTTCTTTGTAATTCAAGAATGTTATAACTTTGGGGAGACATAAATTGTTCTTCTCATTGGGATACTGATCTTCTGGACACTGAAAACATTCATCCATATCTACAAAAGAAAGTATTAAAGTTTCAGTTGCAGTGAAGAAATAAAAACTGATGGTACAATTTTCAAAACAAGGACTGCCACTTAACATTTGAAAAGAATATACATTATGATAGTTGCCATCAATTTGTCTTTCCATAAATCTTTGCTCTGATATGTACTACTTGCTAAAAATAATGGACATTTTACAATTCAGTTCCTTATCCATACTTTGTAGTCTAACCTGCCAAGTGAAAGATGACACTAAATTTTCCATGAAATACTTGTTTCACAAATATCTTTATTTTAAGTGAAGTAGATAAACAGGATCTCTTACCCTCCCTGTTAGAAATCTTCCCTTCTGGACAGTGAAGACAGTCATAGCAGCAAAATAGTTTTCCTTCTATCTTGATCTTACTGTAGCCTGACTGGCACTTTCCATTACACAGAGAAAATGGCTTTGTCTGTCCATGAATAAATAAATGTGGAAGAGATTTATCTTTATTTATTTATCCTTATCTTTGCAAAGTTTTCATCTCAGTGTTTTGAAATGTTTCTAGAAGCATCCTTCCATTTTATATTCAAGTTTGACATAATAAAATGAGTCAGTGAAGGGTAATTTGGGGTATATAAGTTCGAACAGCTTTTTCAGTATGAAAATAAATATAAATCACATTATCTAATTTGTCACCAGGAAATGGACCACTTGACACAAGGATTGATTTATCAAGTTTTTCTTGGCCCATTTTTCCTTGTGAACATCTATAGGTTTCTTAGTGAATGTTAAAATTTTCTCATTCATTTTACAGGCAATGTGTGAACTGTTTTTCCTGCTTACTCATTTCTTCCCATTTACCCTCCTATACTAAAAGACATCCAAGATGTCTCCAGTGATGATAGACTGGAGAGACTTCAGGAAGAAAATATATGTTGAGATCTGTTTCTGAAGATCATTTCTGTGGAATATTTTAGTTTTAAGACAGCTTTAGGAGGAGTAAAATCAGGTCTTAACACAAGCCAAAATGTGACAGGATCATACCTGGTTAAACCTACTTGGCCATACAATATCATCCTCATCAGTAGTGAACATTTTTTCTTGGGAATCCATGAAGTGTATGCTTCCAACTCGGACTTTCTTAAAAGATAAGTTTGAAAATGTGATCCAATTAATAATATCAAATCCAGTCTCTAACTCTCCATTCTCATTGAACTGAATTTTTTGCCCAGCACTATTATTGAATGAAATCTTTCTCATAAAGTGGTTGAGCTAAATCAGGAAAAAAAAAGCCAAATAGAGATGTTTATTAGGATGTACAACAACACTCTTTCTCCCCTTTAAGATATTTAGATAAGAAATTCTTTTAGATCATTGCTAAGCAGAAAAGGCAATAATAATAGCATTAATAAATACTTAACATTACTAAGTATAATCACGATTAACAATCTTTATAGCACAAAAATAAAGAAAAGTAAAATAAAATAATAAAATAAATAATAATAAACATGAAATGAAACAATATATCTAAATATTAATTAGTTTAAAACAGAATAAAATAATTTCTAATGGATTTGGAAAAATATTATGATAACAGAGATTTAATAAAACAGAGACATAACAAATTTATGATAAGGAGTGTATAAAAGACAGTGTGAGGGGATGGATGCTATAGAAAGCTTTATAATTTAAGAAACTTTCTTTGAAATACTAATGATGAGGACATTTTTAATGTGTCTAGTACAGAAATAAAAAAAACATCTACACCTTTCAAAGGAATTGAATTTGGAGAATCTCTTTGAATTTCAGAAATTTCATAGGGTATATATTTATGTGGTGTTACATATTTATGTAGGAAGGGTATGCTATATTTTATAGCTTGTGATTGGTCAATTAATTAATACACAAATGTATGTTTACAGGATTCCATCTATATTTTAAGAATTGATTCTTCAGAAATCTAGAAAGAAGATAGAGTGACTTCTCTGTGATTGTCTCCTTGGGATTTTACCTTCCACAGATCTTGATTAAAAGGTTTCCCCTTGGTTTCAAGATGTCCTGCTTTGCATTTCATTTTAGATGAATGGAAGTCATGCAAAGCATGGGCAACCATGTAGATGGCAGTGTAGACACTGTAGCTGTGGCCAGTCATGTCCATTTCAAATACAGATGTAGGGAGATCCTCTAGTTTCTCCTCTCCAGTACAAATGGTCCCACCTGCCTCTTCTACCACAGAGGTGGAAAAGGAACATTCAAATGCATTTTCCCAAAAGATCTTGATAAAACTCTGTTCCTTTTCCAAGATAGGATTTCTTGATTGAACAAATTGATGGAATCCCAACACCTTCTCTGAGTGAATTACAAATGAGAAGGCACCATGCAGGAAAACCAGGTCACCATATCTTTGAAAGGGGAGTGATGTGAAACCCATCTGGAGTGTCATGATCCAGACTTTACCTTTTGTCCATAGTAGAAAATCATTATATTTCAAACTAGTGGAAAGAAATCTTAGAGTTATCATGTTCCCAAATTCACCATGAACTACCACTGCAGTGGCATTACTTCTCATAATCACTTGGTACATCTTTAGTCCTGTTTCTACTAGCTCTATAATATTATTTGTATAAACAGGTTTTGGAAATCTTTCAATGAAATCAAAACAGATACCACTCTGGGTAGCCATGGGAACAAATGTGTGTCGAAACATTTCACCACTGTCATTATCTACTAACAACATCCCAACCCATGTCCATGTGAAATATAGCAGCAATTTAGAAATGCCCTTGTACTGAACGTTCATATTTGGTAACATCTGTTGATAAAAAGCAGCTTGTTCTTTTGTGCGAATTTCAGGAGCAGAACCATGTATTACCTAGAAAAAGAGAGAGAAGCAATAATAGGAAAAAAATCAGTAAAATTAACACAGCGTGTAATCATACTCTTTCCCTGTTTTGCTACTAAATTAGAAACTAAAATCCAATCCAATGTATATTGCTGTATTTTTCAACAAAATGAGTATTCTCCAAAGAATTCACAAAATATTCACAAAGTATTATAAAACATTACAATAATGTTTAAAGTAAGGGTTGAACAGTGAGCCGAGGTGGCGCAGCAGTTAGGGTGCAGTACTGCAGGCCACTTTAGCTGACTGTGTTCAGCAGGTCAGTGGTTCAAATCTCACTGGCTCAAGGTTGACTCAGCCTTCCATCCTTTCGGGGTAGGTAAAAGGAGGACCCAGATTGTTGGGGGAAATGTATATATATATATATATATATATATATATATATATATATATATATATATATATATATATATATATATATATATATACACATTGCTTACTGGTGTACACTGCTTAGAGAGTGCTTGCACTTAAAGTGGTATATAAGTCTCATAAATAAATAAATAAATAAACAGTGTAATCTTCAAAGTTCCTGTGTTCCTAGCCCCAGTTTTATAATTCTAACTATGCTCTGCAATGTATTTAGCAATTCTTTCTCTAAAATAATCAAGGAAGTCTTACTTCTGGACAACATATACTACCCTATTAATACACTAGCCCTTGGAAACATAAAAAAAATCAAGACCCTATAGCATAACCAAACCACTGGATAATTCACTCGCATCCTTCGGAACCCTACATTTTTTGAAATGTAGACTCAACCACAACATTTTTCAAATGGATTTTTATTTTTATGTCCTATCACTCTGTATCACTAAAGAAAAAACATACCTGTGGCATCTTAAACAGGGAAAGAATGTTAGCCATGTTTAGATAGATATCAGAGGAAGGTCCTCCAATGACTGCTATTGGTCTGTTTTGAGCATCACAGTTGTAATTAGGTATGAATTGGCCCTTTGTGAAGAAGAGTTCCAATGAGGCACGGTATGTCCAACTTGGATCAAAATAGGTATTATAAATATGGAAACCCAAGGTATAGTTTGGTAAAATAGAGGGATCTCTATTGATCTCCATGATGGCAAATTCTAAGGCTAGGATGTGTTGATACATTGGAGTCATGACTCTAAAATAAGCATTATATATTCTGTCAAAATATACTCTGTTGAAACTGTGATGTATGGTATATATCAATTCAACCTAATATTCTTCACATTTATCTATCTATCTATCTATCTATCTATCTATCTATCTATCTATCTATCTATCTATCTATCTATCTATCTATCTATCTATCTATCTACTTCTTCCATAAATCTATCATCTATCATCTAATGGAATATCACTGTATTGTTTATTTGCTAGCCTATAAATAATACTTTTTAGTATGCCAATCAATTCATCCATTCATTAATCAAGGTATTTTAAAGACTAATGTTATTACCTTTTGAAAACTATTATGGGAATGTATGTAATGTATAATTTTTAACCCCAAATTATACTTAAAGAAATGCACTTAAAGAAATGCACTTTCTCTTTAAAAAATGGTATCTGAATGCATTTACTATTGGTCTCCAAATAAGCATAAATGGTTCTTTGAGAGAAAACATATATTCCCTTTCTTTAAAAATTCTCTATATGAGAGTATGAATATAAAAATAATTCATAAATAAAGGAACTATTCCATTCTTTCTTTTTCTGTTTGTCTCCCTATATCTCTATCTCAAAAAATCATTATCGATGCATTGGAAACATTTTTTGATGCTAAAATAAACCAGGTATTTGTCTTATCAATTGGACTATATTTATCTTTTTTAATGAAGAACAGAAAAATGCCTTATCGCAAAATAAATCATTAGAAATATCTTAAGCAAACTATCTCCATAGAGATAGTGATCATTTGCAAATGATGTTTTATGGCATGATTTTTGGATGTGGCTTGCCATTGCTTGCTGAACTAAGTTAGAAGGTTACCTAGCTGTCTTCATCTGCAACTAGACAACATGGTCTCAACTTTTCACACCTGACCGTTACACTAAGGTGGCTCTGTTAAAAAATATTAACCTTTTCATATTTTAGAACTACTGGTTGTTTATAATTTGAGCACTCTCCATTCCATTCTCCTATTGCTTATATTGCTTCTCTCTCTTGTCCCTTACTATATTTTTTATATTCTTTAAATGTGTGTTTTATCAGTTTTATTTCTTTTCTTGAAAATGTAAAGCATGAGAAGGAAGGAAGGAAGGAAGGAAGGAAGGAAGGAAGGAAGGAAGGAAGGAAGGAAGGAAGGAAGATCATAGGTCAAAGAATAAGAGATAAAAAGAAAAGAGCTATTCATCAAAGAACAAATTAAACACAGTTAACATGAAAGTTCTCTCTCCTTCTCTCTGTGTGGCCCTTTGTAAAAAAAAAAAAAACTCACACAACGTCCACAAAGAGTTCCTTAGAAGAATGCTTTCTGAAGTCTATCATAGTATAGAAGATGTAGATCTGAGAGAAAATGTCCACAACAATGAAGTCTCCTGACTGATATTGCTTGTGAACAAAAGGCAAAGGATCACTAGTCCTACATGTAGCCCTGGGAATCATGTTCATCCTTTCAGGTAAAAGCACTAAGACCAAGGCTGAAAATATCATCATCACAAATAGATATGTTTTATCTGTGAGTCAATTTATGTTAAGAGTATTTCTGCTTGCACTGGTCTGCACAGCAACCCCCTTGTCACTAGGAGATGAAGTTGAAACTTTGATATGGGGATTGCTAATAACAATGGCAAGGTCAACAATTAGGAATTAAAGTCTTAGGAAATCATGAACAGTAAACATGTTTTTGATCTCAGTAAACATCAGTTCTTCTTCAGTGGGATGACAAGAGGTCCAGCATCCTGCAATTACTAAGAGCAATGAAGGCTTAAGAGAGAAAAAAGATTTTTTCAGCTTTTGTGTAAAGACAGAAAAAAGTTACTCAGTTTTCAAGCAAAATGGCCTTATGTTAATTCACAAGAGATTGCTAATTTCTTTGTTTGACATTCCACCATAATCGCAAAGATGTAGAGAATGTACAAAATAGAAAAAGAAAAAAACCCAACAAAATCACCAGGAGAATATAAATATAAAAATATACTTTACTAAAAGCTGCCAAGCTTTCGTTTGGAAACTCCAAATATCAGCAGGGCTAAGGAGCCAGTAAACAATGATGACTTAAATGGATTTGGCTGACATTTGCACCCGGCTCATGGACCACGGCACCGGTCCCGGATGGTTAATTAGTGTTCCAGATGTTGTGGAGGAGATGAATGTTAGTAATGGAATGGTGGGAGGAATGATCCAGAAGAACGATAGAAGGAAGCACAAGGAGAGTAATAAAGAAACATCTTTATTTTTTGAATATAGGAATCCCAGGTATGGACATTTAAAGTCAATCAGATAAAAATAAAGAGCTCTGGGATGTAAGATAAAAGGCTTTTTTTTAATTAATTGCTGAGCTTTCATTAACAACCTGTTAACATCATCAGAGCAAAGGGCTAAATGAGAAGGGGGAGCATGTGCATAAATTTACATAACAGTTAAAAAAAAACAGTTGAAGTGAGGCATGTGCACACAATGTGCCCAAGAAGCTCTTAAAGGCATAGAGCAGTCAGTCTCAAGACCATTTTAAAAGTCGCGCTTGTCAGCTGTTTGGCGCGTAGATCCAGCATGCCTTTTAGCCAGCCTCTTGGATTGTATAGTTTGTTTGGTATAGGGTTGTTGTTGTGTGTGTGTTTTGTTGGGTACCGTTATTTGGAATGTTTGTGTGTGTTCATTTGTTATGCTTATTAGTTGTGGGTGGCTTTGTGGTGTTTGGGAATTGGGTTGTAATATTTTGTTCCATTGAATGTGATAAGTCATATTTCATTGCAGGGGGGAGTTTTGGTCTTGGTCTTAATATTCTGTTGTTACTTAGGTGTTGTGTGTGTATGTTTTGTTGTGTGTGAGTATCTTGTGAGGTTGCAGGATTTATGTTTTGGATGATTGTGTCCTGGATGTTGTGGTCAGGGGGGTTGTTGTTTCTGTGTGTGAGAATATCAGAACATGGTGTGTTGGTTGTGTGAGTTGTCATGGTTGTGTTAGAATTATATTCTTTAGTTAGGTTTGATGAAAAGGATTGTGATGTAGAAAGGATATCTATTGTGTTGGTTTGGGGTTTGATAACTGGGTGGGGTGGTGTTTCTGTGTTATTATTGGTTGGGTTGAAGTGTTTAGGTATTTTATGTTTTTGTAAATGTCTTTTTAGGGTTTGGTAAGGAGGTAGTAGGTCTATGTGTCTATTAATAGAATGACAGTCTGAAAACCAAGCTTCTTTTAAAAGATGGCCTCCTTTGGTGGAATCATGAGCAATGACTTCTGCTCCTTTAAAGTTGAAAGTGTGGCCATGCTCAGCTATATGGGTTCAGACTTGGGAGTGTTGTTCTTGTCTTCTTACTGCCAAAACATGCTCATGTATTCTGGTTTTAAGTCTTTTTGATGTTTCTCCAATGTAGTTACATTGGCATGTGTTGCAGTTGATCTTGTATACGATGGAGGACAAATCACTGATTGGTAATGGTTCTTTGGGTCGCATCAACTGGGAACGTAACGTTTGGTTGGGTTTATGTGCTATGTTGATATTGTATGGGGCAAGGATCCTGGCGGTTGCTTCTGAGACTCCATTGATGTATGGGAGTGTTGCCCAAGTTGTATTAGTTGGAGCATTGTAGTTTGAGTGTGGTGTTTTATCTTTGCAGCAACGTTTGATGAAGCTTAGTGGGTAATTATTTTGTTTGCATATGCTGAGAAGATATGCTTTCTCTTTAGATTTTGCTGTTTCTGTGCTGGAGTGGGTCTTGATTCTTTTGAATAAAGTTCTTAAACAGCTGATTTTATGCGATATAGGGTGATTGCTTTGGTAGTGGAGAATTCTATCAGTGTGAGTGGTTTTGCGATAGACGGTAGTTGATAGGTTGCCTCTGGAAGGTGATGGACCAAGACATCCAGGAAGGGTAAAGTGTTGTTGTCCTCCTCTTCTGCTGTAAATTGGATGTCTGGATGGAATTAATTCAGTTTCTGTAAGAATTTGGTGGTATCACATCGCTTAATGACTGCAAAGGTGTCGTCCATGTACCTAACCCAAAAACTAGGTTGATAATCAGCCATGACAACACGTTCTAGATCCTGCAGTACTGCTTCAGCGATGATGCTTGAAATGGGTGACCCCATGGGTGTACCTTTCACTTGCTCATAAGTTGTGTCTTTGTAAGTAAAATAAGTTTGAAGGCAGAAACCCAGTAATTGTATGTAGTCCTCTGTGCTAGGAGAATTGGGGTGTTGTATTTCTCCTTTTTGCAGAAGGTTTCTAAAAATAGAGATGGCTAGATTTTGGGGAATGGATGTGAAGAGGAATACTACATCGAATGAGATCATGATTTCATCGTCTCTAACCTTTAATGTACGTAATTTCATCAAAAAATCTTCAGAAGATTTCACCATGGTTAGGGAGTCGCTGATCAGGTGTTTGAGTTTTAAGCTTAACCACTTTGCTAGGCCATAGGTGGGTGTACCTCTGAAAGATACGATAGGTCTTAAAGGAACTCCTACCTTGTGGATTTTGGGGAGTCCATATATACGTGCCATGGCCATGTCTCTGGGTCGGATGGATCTGTGGTCTTCATCTTTTATTCTGTTTTGCCTCTTGAGTCTGTTTAAAGTGTTGTTAAGTCGGTTAGTGAGTGATGTCATAGGATCTTTGTTGGTGATGCGGTATGCAGTTTTGTCATTAAGTAGATCAAGGATTTCCATCCTCACCCAAGAACATTTCAACATCCTCAACCTCTTAATATACCATACAACCCAAAAAACATGACAGCGCAAAACAGAGATACTTCAAAGAAAAACTGAAAGCTTAATCACCTCAAACAAGAAAGAAGTCCTTGAAAAATTGGTTCACAACCTTTCATCTAGGACCTTGACCAGTCAACAAACCTCACTGTTACAACGTGATGCTGGTACCAACCTTAAGGATGCCAAACACCTTGATTTCACAGTTTTGTCACCTTGACAAAACTGCATACCGCATCACCAACGAAGGGACAAAGGGATAGATGGGGAACTCATCAAATTTGCAGACGACACCAAGCTGGCAGGAATAGCCAACACTCCAGAAGACAGGCTTAAGATACAGGAGGACCTGGACAGACTTGAACACTGGGCGTTATCTAACAAAATGAAATTCAATGGTGAAAAAAGTAAGGTTCTACATTTTGGCAAGAAAAACCAAATGTACAGGTATAGTATAGGGGTTATCTTGCTCAATAGTAGTAACTGTGAGACAATGGACAATCATTTAATTATGATCCAGCAATGTGCTGCAGCTGCCAAAAAGCCAACACAATGCTGGGCTGCATTAACAGAGGGATAGAATCAAGATCACATGAAGTATTGATACCACTTTACAATGCCTTGGTAAGGCCACACTTGGAATACTGCATTCAGTTTTGGTCACCACGATGTAAAAAAATGCTGAGACTCTGGAACAGACATGTCAAACACAAGGCCCGAGGGCCGGATGCGGCCCGTGAAGTGATTTCATGTGGCCCATGAAGCCATCCTGGAAACCATGAGGGAACGGCCCCCACTGCCTTGGCCCTGTAAAATTTTGTGGTGGCCATCTATGCTGAAACGCATTCAGTCTTAGCTCCACAAGGCCGTCTAGAAACAGCGAGGAACCAGCCCCTGCTGTATTGGCCCTGCCCCCTGGGTGCATGCTGGGAAGGTGTCACCTTTTGTAAGGAATGAAGAAATGGACCATGCCTTGGTGCTTGCCCCGGTCCCACCCCCTTCTGCTAAATACCCTCAGATCTGTCCCACTCCTGCCCAAGCCCCCACAGGCACCCTTGACGCGAACGATGTAGAGCTGGCTATGCCCACCCAGTAGGCCACACCCACTCCATCCACACCCACCCAGTAGGCCGCACCCAACCAGCCCCCCAAGGGCAGCCACAATGCTGATGCAGCCCTCAATGAAATTGAGTTTGACACCCCTGCTCTAGAAAGAGTACAGAGAAGAGCAACAAAGATGATTAGGGGACTGGAGGCTAAAACATATAAGGAATGGTTGCTGGAATTGGGTATGTCTAGTTTAACAAAGAGAAGGACAAGGGGGGAGATGACAGCAGTGTTCCAATATCTCAGGGGCTACCACAAAGAATAGGGAGTCAAGCTATTTTCCAAAGCTCCTGAAGGCAGGACAAGAAGCAACGGATGGAAACTAATCAAGAAGAGAAGCAACCTAGAACTAAGGAGAAATTTTCTGACAGTTAGAACAATTAACCAATGGAACGACCTGCCTCCAGAAGTGTTGAATGCTCCAACACTGGAAGTTTTTAAGAAGATACTGGACAGCCATTTGTCCATAATGGTGTAGGGTTTCCTGCCTGAGCAGGGGGTTGGACTCTATGATCTCCAAGGTCCCTTCCACTTTATTATTATTATTATTATTATTATTATTATTATTATTAGTAGTAGTAGTAGTAGTAGTAGTAGTAGTAGTAGTAGCAGTAGTAGTAGTAGTAGTAGTAGTA